GTCCTGACCCCCAGGTTGAGAAACACTGTTCTAATGGCCATATAGCCCGAAAAAAACTACAACAACCCAGTGATTCCGGCCATGAAAGCCTTCGACAATACATAAAACATCTTGAGTTGCATAGATCTAGGAAACGGAGGTGAAAACACGACAGCGGGTGTGCGTCACAGGGTCCCCCTTGTTGTTCCATATCCAAACATTGATGCCTCTTCGCTTCCAACCAGGATGCTGAGGAGCACAGGAGGAATGTGGGGTGTGAGCCAGAATGTGGGCTTGGTTTCGGGGTGTGCCGGTGTGTTTGGACGCGGGAGAGGAAGGATTCGCGTACCGACAGACCTTCCCAAGTTTTGCATCCAGGTAGTACGGGAATTTAGGTGTGTGTTAAACAAGGATAGGTTTCTGGGTGTTTGGAGAGCTGGGTGTTTGGAGTGTGTCCCTGTTGGTTCTGCTGGACCTCTCAGCAGCCTTCCATACCATTGACCATGGTATCCTTCTGGGGCGCCTTGGGGATATGGGACTTGGGGGTACTGCTCTGCAGTGGCTCCAGTCCTTCCTGGAGGGTCGGTCCCAGAAGGTGTTGCTGGGGGACTCCTGCTTGGCCCCACAACCATTGTCCTGTGGGGTCCCGCAGGGCTCAGTATTGTCCCCCATGTTGTTTAATATTTAGCATTGAGCCATAGCCATAAAATCAGTGTCAAACTGCATTAATTCTACACTGTAGATCTGGCATGGGCAAACTTCGGCCCTTCAATTCCCAACTCCATTAGCATTGAATGGCCTTGTAGCTTCAAAGCCCGGCTGCTTCCTGCCTGGGGGAATCCTATGTTGAGAGGTGCTAGCTGGCCCTGATCTTTTCCTGACAGGAATTCTCCTGCTTTCTGAGTGGCCAGATAAAACCTAACAAAGTATTCCCCCAGGCAGGAAGCAGCCAGGCTTTGGAACTACAAGGCCATTCAATTATCATTGCCCCAGTGGCACAATGGGCTAAATACTTGTGCCGACAGGACGATAGGTAGGTAGGTAGGTAGATGATAGATAGATAGATAGATAGATAGATAGTCACTCTATCACTCGTTTCCACCAGATGCTAGGGAGAATGTCCAAGTCCTTAACCGGTGCCTGGCCGCTGTGATGGTCTGGATGAGGGCAAGCAAATTGAAGTTCAATCCAGACAAGACAGAGGTCCTCCTGGTCAATTGAAAGGCATCTCAAATAGACTACTGCAACACTCTCTACGTGGGGCTGCCTTTGAAAACTTATTGTTTTTGTTATTGTTATTATTGATACCATGGTAGAATGGTATAAAGCTAAATTATTATTGTTATTGTTATTATTATTATTGTCATCTATTTGGGATGTAACCACGTTGGTCCACGCTCCGGTTACATCCCGAATAGACTACTGCAACGCTGTCTACGTGGGGCTGCCTTTGAAAACTTATTGTTTTTGTTATTGTTATTATTGATACCATGGTAGAATGGTATAAAGCTAAATTATTATTGTTATTGTTATTATTATTATTGTCATCTATTTGGGATGTAACCACGTTGGTCCACGCTCCGGTTACATCCCGAATAGACTACTGCAACGCTGTCTACGTGGGGCTGCCTTTGAAAACTTATTGTTTTTGTTATTGTTATTATTGATACCATGGTAGAATGGTATAAAGCTAAATTATTATTGTTATTATTATTATTATTGTCATCTATTTGGGATGTAACCACGTTGGTCCACGCTCCGGTTACATCCCGAATAGACTACTGCAACGCTGTCTACGTGGGGCTGCCTTTGAAAACTTATTGTTTTTGTTATTGTTATTATTGATACCATGGTAGAATGGTATAAAGCTAAATTATTATTGTTATTGTTATTATTATTATTGTCATCTATTTGGGATGTAACCACGTTGGTCCACGCTCCGGTTACATCCCGAATAGACTACTGCAACGCTGTCTACGTGGGGCTGCCTTTGAAAACTTATTGTTTTTGTTATTGTTATTACTGATACCATGGTAGAATGGTATAAAGCTAAATTATTATTGTTATTATTATTATTATTGTTATTATTATTATTATTATTATTATTTATACCATGTTAGAATGGTATAAAGCTAAATAATAATAATAATAATAATAATAATAATAATAATAATAACAATAAATACCATGGTAGAATGGTATAAAGCTATATTATTATTATTATTATTACTATTAATTTTTAGCTTTCTCTGCCAAGTGGTTGCTCCTCCCAACCAATCTTGCAGTTGTCTATTCGGGATGTAACCACGTTGGTTCATGCTCTGGTTACATCCCGAATAGACTACTGCAACGCTGTCTACGTGGGGCTGCCTTTGAAAACTTATTGTTTTTGTTATTGTTATTACTGATACCATGGTAGAATGGTATAAAGCTAAATTATTATTGTTATTATTATTATTATTATTTATTATTATTATTATTATTTATACCATGTTAGAATGGTATAAAGCTAAATAATAATAATAATAATAATAATAATAATAATAATAATAACAATAAATACCATGGTAGAATGGTATAAAGCTATATTATTATTATTATTATTACTATTAATTTTTAGCTTTCTCTGCCAAGTGGTTGCTCCTCCCAACCAATCTTGCAGTTGTCTATTCGGGATGTAACCACGTTGGTTCATGCTCTGGTTACATCCCGAATAGACTACTGCAACGCTCTCTACGTGGGGCTGCCTTTGAAAACTTCTCAGAAGCTCCAATTAGTCCAGCTGTCGGCAGCCAGGTTGTTAACTGGAGCTGCGTACAGGGAGCGTACCACGCCTCTGTTGCGCCAGCTCCACTGGCTGCCGATTAGCTTCTGGGCACAATTCAAAGTGCTGGTTTTAACCTTTAAAGTCCTGCACGGTTGGGGCCCAGATTACCTGTCCGAACGTATCTCCTGCTATGAACCATCACGAAGCTTAAGATCATCAGGAGAGGCCCTGCTCTCGATCCCACCACTCTCGCAAACGTGGTTGGTGGGGACAAGAGACAGGACCTTCTTGGCAGTGGCCCCCCCGTCTGTGGAACTCTCTCCCTAACGACATCAGGTTGGCCACCTCCCTCCTGTCCTTTAAAAGACAACTGAAGACCTGGCTCTGGGGCCAGGCGTTCGATTAGAGGCCAGCGGCAATAGGAAAGGAAATTTGGATTTTGTGACATGGATTCTCTTGGCTCGGCTTGGTTTTACTGGCATGTTAAACAGCAGAAAATTCATACACACATAGAATAAACATAATAGCATCATAATACATTAATACAAAAATACAATAAATACAGATCATACAATTACAAAAGCCAGGTCGTCAGAGTAAAATCACAAATTCATCACCATCCGCCAGTGTGGTCAGCCGTTATTGACTCAATCATCATTCTGCAAATGCTATATTCCAAAGCCAAGATTTTACCAGCTTTCTGAAAGTCAGGAGGGAAGGGGCAGATCTAATCTCCAACGGGAGAGAGTTCCAGAGCCGAGGGGCCACCACCGAGAAGGCCCTGCCCCTCGTCCCCACCAGACGCGATTGCGAAGGTGGTGGGACCGAGAGCAGGGCCCCTCCAGAAGATCTTAACAACCTTGATGGTTCATAGGGGAGAATCCGTTCGGACAGGTAAACTGGGCCGGAGTCGTTTAGGGATTTATAGGTCAACACCAGCACTTTGAATTGTGCTCGGAAGCTAATTGGCAGCCAGTGGAGCTAACGCAGCAGAGGAGTAGTATGCTCCCTGTATCCCGCTCGTTAGTAATCTGGCTGCCGCTCGTTGGACTAATTGAAGCTTCCGAGCAGTCTTCAGAGGCAACCCCACGTAGAGAGTGTTGCAGTAGTCTATACGGGATGCAACCAGAGCGTGGACCACCGTGGCCAAGACACTTGGTTAAAGGGGTGAATTCTAGAGTTGGAAGAGATCCCAAGGTTCACCTAGTCCAGCCCCCTTGTGCCAGGCAGGAAGACACAATCCAAGCCTTCCCAAGAGATGGCCCTATTTACGTGCTTGAGAAGCAGGCGGGATCGAGAGCAGGGCCTCCCCGGAAGATCTCAAAGTCCTGGTGGGTTCATAGGCAGAGATGCGGTCGGATAGGTAGCTTGGGCCGGAACCGTTTAGGGCTTTAAAGGCCAACGCCAGCACTTTGAATTCAGCCCGGTAGCAGATCGGTAGCCAGTGGAGTTGGCGCAACAGGGGGGTTGTATGCTCCCTGCGCTCCGCTCCTGTTAAAATCATGGCTGCCGAGCATTGGACTAATTGGAGCTTCCGAGCCGTCTTCAAAGGCAACCCCACGTAGAGAGCGTTGCAGTAGTCTATACGGGATGTAACCAGAGCGTGGACCACCGTGGCCAAGTCAATGGGTTAAAGGGGTGACTTCTAGAGTTGGAAGAGATCCCAAGGTTCACCCAGTCCAGCCCTCTTGTGCCAGGCAGGAAGACACAATCCAAGCCTTCCCAAGAGATGGCCATCCTGCTTATGCTTAAAAATCTCCAGAGATGGAGACTTCCAGGCCGTGTTTTCCACTTTCTAACAGTGGCGATGTCTTCTCTTGCTTTTTTCCAAGGTCCTGCCTGTCGCCAGACACTTCCTGCAACCACGATGCTGAGCCACTGGCCAGGAGACATTTCTCTCGGCGGAGCTCCATCTTCGTAGCTCCTTCTACCTACCGTTGGGAATGATGTCTCAGGACGGTGGGGCCCGGCCCAAGGTGAAGCCAGACGGAGGCTCTGGTAACCGTTCCGGTGGCCGCTGGAAGGCCAGGACGAGCCAGAGCCTGTTGTCGCTGGAGGCAGAGCCAGCGGCCGATGGTCAGATGGACCCTGAACCCAGCAGAGGGGTGGCCCGCTCCTTGCGGCAGAAACTCCAGGCGGCCGTGGGCCAGTGCTTCCCTCTCAAGAGTGCCCCTCGTTCCCCAGACCTGTCGTCCCAGCGCAAGATCCATTTGAGGGAGCTGATGCTGGACACGTGCCCTTTCCCACCCGGATCGGAGTTGGCTCGCACTTGGAATCTCATCAAGCAGCACACGGCGCCCGTTTCCGAGCAAGAAGTGCTGACGCCGGTGCTGCCTCCGACGGCGGAGGACGAAGACGACCGCTTGCGCGAACGGCGGCGCATCAGCATCGAGCAGGGCGTAGAGCCGCCTCCGGACGCTTTGATCCACACCTTCGAGGTGACCGCTCAGATCAATCCGCTCTATAAGCTTGGCCCCAAATTGGCGCACGGGATGAACGAGTTGGTTGGCGCCAGCCGGGTTACGTTGGCCGCTGCCGACGAAGAGGAGGAGGAAGAGGAAGAGGAAGAGGAAGCCGGATCTTCCACAATGGCAGACATCAAGGACGGCTACCGGGTCCATACCCAAATCGACTACATCCACTGCCTTGTTCCTGATTTGCTTCAACTGACGCAGCTGCCTTGCTACTGGGGAGTGATGGACCGCTACGAGGCTGAGGCCCTTCTCGACGGCAAGCCGGAGGGCACCTTCCTCCTCCGAGACTCGGCCCAAGAGGACTACCTCTTCTCGGTCAGCTTCCGGCGCTACGGCCGCTCCCTCCACGCCCGTATCGAGCAGTGGAACCACAACTTCAGCTTCGACGTCCATGACCCCAGCGTCTTCCACGCTCCCACCGTCACCGGCCTCCTGGAGCACTACAAGGACCCCAGTGTCTGCATGTTCTTCGAGCCGCTCCTCTCCATCCCAGTGAATCGCACTTTCCCTTTTGGCCTGCAGCATCTCTGTCGGGCTGTGGTCACCTGCTGCACCACCTACGACGGCATCGGGCGCCTGCCCATCCCCAGCGCCTTGAAGGAGTACCTCAAGGAGTATCACTACAAGCAGCGGGTCAGGGTCCGGCGCCTGGACGCTTGGTGGAGTTGATGGGGGAAGAAGCCCTTGGAGACCCCCATTGGACACTGGTCCACAGCCACCCCTTCCCTAGTCTTTGCTGTTGACTTCCATGAAACTCGTGGCCCCGTCTAAGCGCCTTCCCAGTTGGGTCATCATCCGAGACCTCCATCAGCCATTGCTCCACAGCCAACCTTTCTTGGTCTTCACTGTTGACTTCCATGAGATTTGGGTTGGCATCCTTTCGTCCATCCATGGACACAGCTATCCTCCCAACTCATCATCTTGGGATAACTTGTGGCCCTGTCTAAGCACCTTCCTAGTTGGGTCATCATCCAAGACCTCCATCAGTCATTGCTCCACAGCCAACTTTTTTTGGTCTTCACTGTTGACTTCCATGAGATATAGGTTGGCATCCTTTCTTCCATCCATAGACATAGCTATCCTCCCAACACATCATCCTGGGATAACTCATGGCCCTGTCTAAGCGCCATCCTAGTTAGGTCATCATCTGAGACCTCCATCAGTCATTGCTCCACAACCAACCTTTCTTGGTCTTCACTGTTGACTTCCATGAGATTTCAGTTGGTATCCTTTTGTCCATCCATGGTCACAGCTATCCTCCCAACACCTCATCTTGGGTTAACTCATGGCCCTGTCTAAGCGCCTTCCCAGTTGGATCATCATCCGAGACCTCCATCAGGCATTGCTCCGCAGCCAACCTTTCTTGGTCTTCATTGTCGACTTCCATGAGATTTCAGTTGGTATCCTTTCGTCCATCCATGGACACAGCTATCCTCTCAACACATCATCTTGGGATAACTCATGGCCCTGTCTAGGCGCCTTCCCAGTTGGGTCATCATCCAAGACCTCCATCAGCTATTGCTCCACAGCCAACCTTTCTTGGTCTTCACTGTTGACTTCCATGAGATTTGGGTTGGTGTCCTTTCATCCATCCATGGACACAGCTATCCTCCCAACACATCATCCCAGTGCAGAACCCACTGCCACGTGGCTCTTAATCTTGTCTAAGCGCCTTCCCAATTGAGTCATCATCCGAGACCTCCATCAGGAACTGGTTCCCAGCCCTTTCTATCTTGTTCTTCTCCACTGACTTCGATGAGATTTGTGGCCCTGTCTAAGCGCCTTCCCAATTGGGTTGCCATCCTTTCATCCATCCATGGACACAGCTATCCTCTTTCTGCGTCATCTTGTGGCGTGGACACCTGGCTCTTGATCCTATGGACACCTGGCTCTTGATCCTAAGCACCTTTCCAACTGGGTCGTCATCCTTTCATCAAATCCCTGATGCCGAACGTAGATATGGACCTGCCTTCCACATCATCTTTACATCATCGTGGTGCAGAACCCATTGCAATGTGGCTCTTCATCCTGTCTAAGCGCCTTCTCACTTGGGTCGCCATATTTTTTGTCCCTCCATGAACGTAGGTGTCCTCCAACATCATCATGTGGCATCTCAATGCTCTTCATCCATGGATTTATGGAGAACAAGAAGTATTCGCCATATTTTTGTCCCTCCATGGATGTAGGTGTCCTCCAACATCATCATGTGGTACCTCAATGCTCTTCATCCATGGATTTATGGAGAACAAGAAGTATTCGCRGTATTTTTGTCCCTCCATGAACGTATGGAGGGACAAAAATATGTGTCCTCCAACATCATCATGTGGCACCTCGATGCTCTTCATCCATGGATTTATGGAGAACAAGAAGTATTCGCCGTATTTTTGTCCCTCCATGAACGTYGGTGTCCTCCAACATCATCATGTGGCACCTRYATGCTCTTCATCCATGGATRTATGGAGAACAAGAAGTATTCGCCATATTTTTGTCCCTCCATGAACGTAGGTGTCCTCCAACATCATCATGTGGCACCTCGATGCTCATCGTCCATGGATCTATGGAGAACAAGAAGACAGGAGGGCTTCCAGATGCCTTGAGATGGTCCTTCCTTAAGACAGGTAGCCTTCCAATTGTCTTGGGATGGCAAGGAACACTATAAGGTCTGTCCCATGTGGCTCTTAACCCATGGATCTATGGAGCAGAAGAAGTCCTATCTGTAAGAAAGGAGGCCTTCCAGTTCTCAGGATGGAAACCCAAGGAGAACCATCCCCAACAGCTGTGGCCTGCAGACCATCATGATCTCACAACTCAACTCTTAACTTCAATCCTTGGGCCAGGATGGGAGTTTCAGTCATTTCCAGATGTTGAATTTAACCTTTTTGTAAACGAAGGCTCTGCGCAGCCATTGTGTGAACGCCTAGGTGCTGCTACTCCATCTCAACTGCCATGGCTGCCTCCTGTGGGATCCTAGGGTTTGTCCTTTCCTAAACTACAAATCCCAGCATCCCTCAAAAGGCAACCATAGCATTAAAAGACGAATAACAGCGCTGTGTGGTCATCTCCCTTGTGCCCGTGAACCCGTTTCTCGCACCAGACTCTTTGATTCCAGCGGGGAGTTTGAGGAACGTCAACAGAAAAAAGCACAATATTTTGGGGGGTGTGTTTTGGTGCTAGGGTTGGGAAGGTCATGAAAAGGTCAATTTTTTTTAAAAAAGGTCAACTAATCCAGATGAGAGAAGAATTCTGGATTATTCCGACTCTTCAGTTTGGGATTTATTGTGTGCAAAATTCCCCTGACGTCTTGTGCAAAACCATTTCCACGTGCAAATCGTGTTTCCTGTACGGAAATGCTGTTTCTTGCACAGAAACATGGTGTAATAAGGGCTTTGCGCTGAGCAAAATTCACACCTGGTTGAGTTCCATAGAGAATAGCATTTTCTATGCATTTTTGCTTCGTGCCAGGAGCGACTTGAGAAACTGCAAGTCGCTTCTGGTGTGAGAGAATTGGCCGCCTGCAAGGATGTTACGCAGGGGACATTGCCCGGATGTTTTGATGCTTTACCATTCTTGTGCGAGGCTTCTCTCATATCCCCGCACGTGGAGCTAGAGCTGACAGAGGGAGTTCATCCACACTCTCCCCGTGTCAGGAGCGACTCGACTAACTGCAAGTCGCTTCTGGTGTGAGAGAATTGGCCGTCTGCAAGGATGTTACGCAGGGGACCTTGCCCGGATGTTCTGACGTTTTACCATCCTTGTGCAAGGCTTCTCTCATATCTCCACACTGAGAGCTGGAGCTGACAAAGGGAGCTCATCTGCACTCTCCCCGGATTCGAACCCGCGACCTGTCGGTTTTCAGTCCTGCCGGTACAAGGGTTTAACTAATTGCACCACCCGGGCTCTATTTTCCATGCTGGAAATAATACTTTTGGGATTTTTGGTGGGATTTGGTTCCAATTTGGTCACAGTTTAGAACAAAATTTGAAAAAAATATTAATGCAAAATAATAATAATGCAACAATAATAATGCAAATTACTACTGGGTTGTTGTTGGTTTTTTTCGGGCTATATGGCCATGTTGTAGAGGCATTCTCTCCTGACGTTTCGCCTGCATCTATGGCAAGCATCCTCAGAGGTAGTGATGTCTGTTGGAACTAGGAAAAGGGGTTTAAATATCTGGAATGACCAGGGCGGGACAAAGGACTCTTGTCTGCTGGAGCTAGGTGTGAATGTTTCAACTGACCACCTTGATTACTATATAATGGCCTGACAGTGCCTGGGGCAATCTTTTGTTGAGAGGTGATTAGATGTCCTTATTTATTATCTCTCTGTTGTTGTGCTGTTGTAATTTTAGAGTTTTTTAAATACTGGTAGCCAGATTGTGTTCATTTTCATGGTTTCCTCCTTTCTGTTGAAATTGTCCACATGCTTGTGGATTTCAATGGCTTCTCTGTGTCGTCTGACATGGTGGTTGTGAGAGTGGTCCAGCATTTCTGTGTTCTCAAATAATCTGCTGTGTCCAGGTTGGTTCATCAGGTGCTCTGCTATGGCTGGCTTCTCTGGTTGAAGTAGTCTGCAGTGCCTTTCATGTTCATCTAATCACTTCTCAACAAAAGATTGCCCCAGGTACTGCCAGGCCATCAAATGCTAATCAAGGTGGTCAGTTGAAACATTCACACCTAGCTCCAGCAGACAAGAGTCCTTTATCCCACCCTGGTCTTTCCACAGATATATAAACCCTTTTTCCTAGTTCCAACAGACCTCACTACCTCTGAGGATGCTTGCCATAGATGCAGGCGAAACGTCAGGAGAGAATGCCTCTAGAACATGGCCATATAGCCCGAAAAAACCTACAACAACCCAGTGATTCCGGCCATGAAAGCCTTCGACAATACATCAAAATAATACTGATGAAAAGTAATAATGCAAAATAATGATCCATGACAATAATTCTGTTCCTGGTTTGAAAGTGTTATTTCCAATTTAATTGTGCGGTCCTTACTTTGGAATGCAGTTGTTCGACTTTGGAAATTTTGCTTTTTGTGACTGCGACGAGGTTGAATCGATTGAGACTGAAAGTGTTATTTCCAATTTAATTGTGCGGTCCTTACTTTGGAACACAGTTTGTTCAACTACGGAAATTTTGTTTTTTGTGACTGCAACAAACGAGATTGAATCGATTTGAAAAACTATAGCAAAATGTGCAGCAGGATGTCTCGCAAAAAACCAAAGTTTGTGCAGTTTGACAAACTTTTTTTCATGTTTTTATGATAGAACCAATTAGGGAATGACATTGATAACCCAGGAACGAAAATGGTGTTACATAGTGTTATTTACTTTATGCCAGGGGTCCTCAAACTACGGCCCGCGGGCCGGATACGGCCCTCCAAGGTCACTTACCCGGCCCTCGTTCAGGGTCAAGCTAAGTCTGAAACGACTTGAAAACACACAACAACAATAACAACAATCCTATCTCGTCAACCAAAAGCAGGCCCACATTTCCCATTGAAATACTAATAAGTTTATATATGTTAAAATTGTTCTTCATTTTAATTATTGTATTGTTTTTAAGTGTTTTTTGCACTACAAGATATGTCCAGTGTGCATAGGAATGTTTTTTTTCCTCCAAATTATAATCCAGCCCTCCAACAGTTTGAGGGACAGTGACCTGGCCCTCTGTTCAGAAAGTTTGAGGACCCTTGCTTTATACAACAGGGGAGTGAAATGGCAAAAATCAGTGTTTCCTTTTAGGATATTTTATTATTTGGATGCCCCGGTGGTGCAGTGGAATTCGACCCCCTCTGGTGGCACAGCAGATTAAACCGCTGAGCTGCTGATGGTTCAAATCCTGGGAGCGGGGTGAGCTCCCACCGTTAACCCCAGCTTCTGACAACCTAGCAGTTCGAAAACATGCAAATGTGAGTAGATCAATAGGTACCGCTCTGGCGGAATAGTAATGGTGCTCCATGCAGTCATTGCTAACTGAAAGGTTGGTGGTTTGAATCCGGAGAGCAGGGTGAGCTCCCGGCATTAGCCCCAGCTTCTGACAACCTAGCCGTTCGAAAACATGCAAACATGAGTAGATCAATAGGTACCGCTCCAGCGGGATAGTAATGGTGCTCCATGCAGTCATTGCTGACTGAAAGGTTGGTGGTTTGAATCCGGGAGCAGGGTGAGCTCCGGCTGTTAGCCCCAGCTTCTGCCAACCTAGCAGTTCAAAAAACATGCAAGTGTGTTTTGAATCCGGGAGCAGGGTGAGCTCCGGCTGTTAGCCCCAGCTTCTGCCAACCTAGCAGTTCAAAAAACATGCAAGTGTGTTTTGAATCCGGGAGCAGGGTGAGCTCCGGCTGTTAGCCCAGCTTTGATTCTGCTGATGGTGACACAGCAGGTTAAGCTGCTAAGCTGCAGAACTTGCTGACCAAAAGGACGGTGGTTCGAATCCACAAGACAGAGTGAGCTCCCGCTGTTAGCCCCAGTTTCTGCCAACCTAGCACTTCGAAACATGCAAATGTGAGTAGATAAATAGGTATTGCTCTGGTGGGAAGATAATGGTGCTCCATGCAGTCATTGCTGACCAAAAGGTTGTTGGTTTGAATCCGGGGAGCAGGGTGAGCTTCTGGTGTTAGCCCCAGTTTCTGCCAACCTAGCAGTTTGAAAAGATGCAAATGTAAGTAGATCAATAGGTACTGCTCCGGCGGAATAGTAATGGTGCTCCATGCAGTCATTGCTGACTGAAAGGTTGGTGGTTTGAATCCGGGGAGCAGGGTGAGCTCCCACCGTTAGCCCCAGCTTCTGCTAACCTAGCAGTTCGAAAACATGCAAATGTGAGTAGATCAATAGGTACCACTCCGGTGGGATAGTAATGGTGCTCCATGCAATCATGCTGGCCACATACCTTGGAGGTGTCTATGGACAACGCCGGCTCTTCGGCTTAGAAATGGAGATGAGCACCAACTCCCAGAGTCGGACACAACTGAACTTAATGTCAGGGGACAACCTTTACCATTACCTTATGATTTGTAAGCTGTGGATGCAGAACCTTTGGATATAGATGGCCGACTGTAGTATTCTCTATCCAAGAGAGGCTGTTTCGTACAAATCCTTGTTTTAAGACAAAACTATTAGAATTTTGCACAGAATACTTCCTGAATTACGAAGATTCCTCAAAGACGTTCTCATGGTGGGAAGAAACTTCAGGTGCATTGTCGAAGGCTTTCATGGCCGGAATCGCTGGGTTGTTGTAGGTTTTTCGGCCTGTATGGCCATGTTCTAGAAGCATTCTC